TTAAATACAAATAACTATAAAATAAATATTATTTTACAAATATTGAATACGTTAAAATAATAATAAAAATATAACTATGTCAAGTACTCTTAATATATTTCTATACATTTTTTTTTACACAAATTGGAACCATGGAATTTGGAACTACACAAAATATTTTGTAGCTTACATTTGTATTATCCCGTAGTGCACTTAGTTTAGCGAGACCCAAAAAAACAAATCCTTGTCAACTAGTTAATGAATTTTGAATAATGGTAGTCCTCAATGGTATTTTGATATTACATCATTGCTAGTAATTAATGATTCCTTGAATTGAAATCTAGTTTCTGTGATGACAAAATTCTATTTTTGGTTCTTATTTTATAGAATCCATCATCCGTAAAGCTTAGTATAACACCTAACACGTTATTTGCATCAACTTTTCCTCTATCAACACAATGAACTGGGATTTCCATTACCATTTCAACTGTTAAACGTGGAAATTTATTTTACTCGTGTTAACTTCAGTAATAATGTTATTAATTTGAGATAATAATTTCATCAAGACATACGAAAGCATAAAATTCTTTAATAACACAATTACACAACTAACATAATTATAACAAATCACCACACATTAACCAACTGGCGGAGCAACACTAGCGTCGCGCTCTCCCACGATACTGTTCTAATTGAGACAGGAACCTAGGCACTCCCTCCATCAGTGATCACCCATTACATATTTGATAACACTCGTAAATTTAATTTTTCTCGCTTGGACCATTAGTGCATCAGAAGCTTTTTCTAAATGTTACTTTTTTTCAGATTGGTTTTTATTTTCATTTTTTACAAACTGTAGCAAATTATTATCGTCATTTACATTTTTAATCAGAAGCTAATTTTTTTTCTAAACATGGCTTCATATGGGGGTCGTTTAATGCCGACATGATATTCACTATTTTTAGCGAATTACAACAAGGTTTGCTGGATAAAAGCCGAGATATGCCTAATTTTGACTTTTGCCCGTAACATATATGTATATAAATATATTCCAGATGATAACGATATATATCAGTTACAAGTCAATGACTTCATGAAGATTTTTTCAAATTTACATCCATCAATATCACTTGTTTGTGTATGTGGAAATCATGATGTTGGTAATATTCCAGATGAAAAATCAATTGACCAGTAATTTTATGTAATTAAATATGAATAGTAACCAAGTATTCACAATATTTACAATTTTATTTAGGTATCGTCATAACTTTGGGCATGATTATTTTTCATTTTGGTGTGGGGGAGTACTTTTTTTAGTACTAAACTCTCAATATTATACAAGCTGTAGTAATGTAAAAGAACTTTCGGAAAAACAGGATAAGTGGTTAACAGAAAAACTGAATACTCATAAGGGTCAAAGAATAATTATATTTCAACATGTACCGTGGTTTATTGATAATATAGAGGATAATAAATATTTTAACATAGATACAAATTTAAAACAAGAAATGCTTGAAAAGATGAATTCAGCAGGTAGGTAAAGAAAAACAACAAATATTTTTTTTGTTTTCATTAATTAATAATAATAATTAAATACACTTTTAAATAAAAACATTTTAATTTAGGTGTGTCCCATGTATTCTGCGGTCATTGTCATAGAAACTGTAATAGATACTATAAAAACCTTGAAATAGTTACCACTAATGCAATTGGAGCTACAGCAAGTGAAGATCCTTCGGGATTAAGAGTTGTTAAAGTATATGAAAACAATGTTATACATACCTATTATCCACTTGATCAATTGCCAGAAACAGTAGGTTAAAATGTACGATTAAATGTAAAATGTTTCAGTATATAAAATAAAAAATCTATTGAGTAATAAAAAATAAGTATTATATATTTTATATAGCATGAATAATATGACTTAACCACATGAATAAACATATTTAAATAGTATTAGTTACTGTAAAACATAAAATCAAATGATTATGTAAATGATTAATTTTTTTTTTTATGATTTTTGAATTGGTCCCAAGGGTGTAGTTCTTCTTCAACAGTTACTTCTAAAATCCATTTTTTATAAAAATTCTGATATTTTCTAAACCCTTCTTTGAAATAATAACTATAAATGAAATTTGGAACATCTTTTTCTTGATTTTGCTGAAAATAATATTGAATAATTAATATACTTAAGATTTTAATAAAGATATTCTTTTAATAAGATTATATATTTAGTAATAATTATTTTAATTTATTATATAATAGTTTAATTTAAGTGTATTTTATTTTTAAAGGCTGTTTATCTATATTTATGCATATTTGTTTTAAAAAACTATATGACACTTAACAGTTTTATATTTTTTATATAAATAACACTTATACATAGCTTTTAAACTAAAATAAATCTATTCAATGATAAAATTATTAATTATTAACAGATTTTTTAATTTTTAATTATATAATAAGAAATTACAGTGTGTTTAAATGCTGAAATAAATGAGTTTAAAATGTATTTATTCCTTTTTATACATGTTTATTGATAATTAAAATAATTATTTTTATTAAAGACAACATATCTATTTTTTCTTCTATTCAAATCCTAATGATACATAAGAAAAAAAAATTGAATATATATTTTATTAGATGTTTTTAACAACAAGTCCATTGTGAGTCCTTTGGTAAAAATATAGCAGGGTCATTATATTTTAAAAAATTTGTGTTAGAATTCGTGTTATGGAAAAGTTACTTGGAAGGTGGTGGCCATTTCTTCTCTCATTGTTATAGTCCAGTATGAAAAGAGAAATCACGGACAACTAAGTTTGAACCAGTGATCATGTGTTACAGTACAACTTATCCACTTAGTCACCAAATCCTTTATTATACATTGTAAAATGTCACAGAGCTTTATGTACTCAAGATCATAAAATTAACTATTAAAGGGATAATAGTAAATTAAACTATCACTAACTAATGAAATTATTTTAAAATTATAACATTCTATGATTTAATTATATATATATTTATTCAAATATGTTATAAATATTTAGTTTTATAACTTTTAAAAAGTAACAATTTTGATGCCTTACATAAAAAAATTACTTAAAAATAACTTAATTCTGGGTAAAGATTTTATAAGTTACATTTTTAGTAATGACTGAAGAAACTTGAAGAGACATTGGTAAAATAAATTTAAAATTGTTAAAAATATTTAATAAAATGTAATAAGATCAAGTATTTTTAATATATTTCTAATATTTAAGACATTTTAGTAGTATATTTTAATATTAAATCATTTTATATGGTTATATATTAAAAATGTAATTTCAGTACTTTTTTAAATTTAACAAGTAATGAATATTTCATTACTTGAATAATAACTTGAACAAAATTGATAATAGGTTATGTATATAATACAATTTAAAACAAAATTTAAAAATGTATTTATTTATTGTTTGATGAATTATAATTAATATATTGTCTTACTCGTTTTTTCATTAAGTCTTTAATATTATCATGGAAACGATTTAAACGGTCCATGAACATTTTATTGGGTTTGATTTCTTCATATTTGACCATATTCATAACATATATTACATAGGAAAAGTTGAAATGATAACATGCTTGTGCCAACATTGTACCTAATATTTCTGCATTCACTCTTAAATAGAATGAAAAGTAAATGAGTATTGTTAAACATAATATTAATTACTGAATAGACATACCGAAATCCATATTCAGCAATAAGTTTTATGAGATCTTTAGATTCATTTTTATTCTTACAGCCCAATGCAAGGACACCAAAAGTAACAATATTCACACTCAAATTTTCTGATTTAATTAAATCTAATACATTCTAAATAAAAATGTTACAAATTAATAATTAATAACTTATAATCAATAGATATTACAATCATATTTACAGGTTATACCTTTGCTTCTGCATAGTCAAATCGAAGACTTCGCTTTTTAATGAGAATGTTGCAAAAATCAATATCAATTGCAACTGAGGTTTTGTGCATTTCATTTAGTAGATTCTGAAATTGAATTAAATAAATATATATATATATATATAAATTATACAAGTTTAAATAAGTAGAGAAAAATAATTAGTTATTACCTTATAATTATTTAATATTACATAGTATATTCATTTATATTTAAGTACATGTTCTTTGAATTAAATTGGTTATAAACATTCTGGTGGATTCAATAAAATGTGTATGATAAATTTGAAAATATTTAAAGTTTGTTTTGATGCAAATGTATTTGATAATATTAATACATAATATGTATATTATATATTATATAATTTGTAAAATATTTTTTGATTTATTAATATCTTAATGAATTGAAGCAATGATAAATTTTACAACATTTTAAATTATAATGCAATTGGGAGCTAATATCTCAATTTGAATGTACCTCTTTCTTTAAATATAAGTATAACATTTGATTTTAAATGTTCTAAGAAATATCAAGATAATCGATTCATACATAAACATACAGTACATGTTATTATAATTTAAAAAATATTTTTCCAGTTATTCATAAGAAATGTTTGTATTAAAACTAATTTTGTTCAGCTTATGATATAATCAACTATTTTAATGATATTTTTTCCATTACATTTTTTTATTTGCTATAATTTATAGAATTATTAATGAAATTAAGTTACTTACTTTTTCAGCTACTAAAGTTGATGGTATAGATTCTAAAAGTTGAGTAAATACTTTAATATCTGGCTTTATCTTATTAATCTTCATGTTTTTTAAGAATCCTGAACAACCACCTAATAACAACAATCTAAAAACAAAAAAATTAACAATAATAACAAAGTATTATTAAATATTCCAAATATCAAGAAAAATAAATAATAGAAAAATTAAAAGTTCTTGTCTAAAGTATTACTGTAGGTGAAAATATTTATCATTTATATTTGTACTTACAAAATATTCCAGAAAAGAACTTTTATTTTTTAGAAATTCAATAATAATTAGTAATTAATGTAAGAAAATTATCTACAAAACATTTTATTAATTTTTTTACTCTTTTTATGTAAGTACAATTTAAGAGTTGAAAATAAAATATTTTTTTTACCTTTCTTCAGGAGTTTGTATTTCAGATACACCAATAATATCACCAAAGTATGGTTTGACATCTAAAAGATTAGGTCTGTTTTCAATAATAGACAAATTATTTTTATTACCATTTAATATAAATGATGTATTGAATTTATTATTTTCTGAAGTATTTGAATTAGATTCTTCGAACTTAGATTCAATTTTTAATAAATTAGGATTATCAATGATTTGGCCAATAATTTTACGTGTCTCAAATTCATCCCCAAGACCACATTCTCGAGTGCATTTTAATAGAAGATTGTAAGTATAAAGTGATGGTCGTACATGCTTGGAAATCATTTTTCTCCAAACCTTATAAAAAGTTTTAAAATGTACATATAAATCAAACAATAAAATAATGTATTTAATTAAATTTAAAGATACACATATATTATATATATTACTGTGGCTAAATAAATTACTCATTTTAGTACAAAAAACTTCACTCCTGTTTGCCTTAACCTCAAAAACAATAATTTACTAATTATCTTAATTTACTAATCATAGAATTTGCATTTTCTTAAATGTTTACTATAAAAATTTAATATATTAATTACCTATATTTATAATAAATGTGATAGAAAAAAATGAAGAGAAATTGTATTCTAAATAAAACAAAAAATAATAGCAAATTGTATACAGTAATAGTTGGTTTAATTTTAAGTTGCTTAAAGTTCTTCTTAAAGTTGTTTACGTTTCTTTAAGTCTTGCTTAAAGTTGTTTACGTTTCTTTAAGTCTTGCTTAAAGTTGTTCTTAACATTTCAAAAAAAAAAATTTAAATCAAATGGATTTCATAAATAATACATTGTTTTTAAATTTAATTACACAATAAATCAAATCATTTATAATAATGAGAAAAATATACTAAAAAAATAAAAAATTAAACAACAAGAAATTGTAGTTGTTATCACTGTTTACATTATTTTAATTTTTATAAAATATAAGTTTATTTTATTTATAAAAAACCATTAGGTATAACAAATAAAATATTATTATTCATAAGCATAAATTTAATGAAATTATTATTTACAGTTAAACTTATTTAGGATTTAATTAACAAGAAAAAAAAAACAGTAGTTTACACTTTATTTAAACTTACAAGTAGAGCATGTCGAAAACCAGCTTCTTTATCTGATATGCAAGCTTGTAAGAGGAAATTGAAAGTTTCATCTTTTAGTTTGAATTTTTTTTTCAACATTTCATCAACCAAAGAAAATGCTGTCAATAAATCTCCAGTTCTCCCAAAAGCTTTTCAAAACAAAATCATAGTTAGAGAATACAAAAAAATATTTTTTTATCATTGCTTATCACTATATAGTATATATATATATATATATATATATATATAATAAAATGTATCAAAAATGATATGTTAAAAAAATAACTCTGGTAATAATAAATTTATGTATTAAAACAATAATGAGTATTCAGCAGAGAATAGGTTAAGAAACTAAAAAATGTTTTAAACTAAGTTATGTGGATAATAAAAAGACCTCTAAGTTTTTTTTTCCTTCCTGTTGATGAGCATACAAAAATTTACAAAAATAATAATTCCAGCATAGTGTAGAAAATTATAGTTCTAATTTTGTTCAGGATACAAGCAAATATACTAAAAAATTATAAGATTTATGAACATAATTAATTAATATGCAGAACATGAATGAATGTAAAAGATATATATAAGAAAATGGAAAATAAATTAATTTTTTAAACTTTATCAATATTGTTTACATCATTAATTTGTGTTTTATCATAATCTATTGAAAGATTTTTCTTATAAAATAATAAAAGTTATATGATCAGAGTTGAAACTAAACACCAATATGTAGTTGATTTAAGCTAATTGAGATTAAATTTTGTTGGTCACATGCATACACATACATACACATATTATAGGACAAAAATTCATAACAATTTACACTTTCATATAGTTCTGTTAAACTATGTCTTCGTATTCTTCATAGTATCCTTAATCCTTCCATATTAAAGAGATACAAATGTCTTATCAATAATTGTTGTTTTTTTACATGATATTGCCTCACAATATCTAGTCAACAACAGTACATTTTTTTACAAGGACTTTAGTAATAGTAAGTAATTTTTTTTATTATTATTTAATGAATTAATATATTTTTATTAATTATTATCAATAAATTTATAGTTAGATATATGGTTATCTGGTGGTGAGTAGTATTAATAACCCAAAATTACCTATATTGTTTATACATCAATAAACATAAATAAGTAATAAAAAAAAAAAAGTTATAAGGAACTTAATAAATTATATGTTGAATATGACACACTGAAAATTTAAAATTAATTTTTATTTTTATTTTCTGATTATTTTACCTTTAATCATTGAATGGTAATTAAAAAGGTTAGGTTCAATTGATTTCAAGCTCATTAGATTGTATAATTGTTTCGCTCTTTTTAATGCATCATCCTTATATGGAGAATTGGCACATGCATTAAATAAACATGTATATGTAGCTGGTGTAGTTTTTATACCACTTTTTTTCATCTAGTTTAAGATAAAAAATATAACTAAGTATTAAATGATCATAATTGAATATTATTATAGTTTATAAATAAATCAAACCTGGTTAAATAATTTAAAAGCTTTTTGAACATATCCAACTTTACCACAAGTACCGATTAATAGATTATATACATAATAATCTGGTTTGGCTTTATCATCTTTTAACATTCTTGTTTCAAGTACATCTATTGCTTCTGCAATCTAAAAATAAGGTTAATTTTATACCCAAACCAATATGTAAGTAAACCTTAATATTCTATACCTACTTTATGTTGTTTAATAAGTTCTTGAATTATTTTATGGTACTCAGTAATATATAATCTTTTATGCTGTTCATCTTTGTCATATTGTATTTTATCATCTGCTTCTAGGGGTAAAATATCTAATTTATCATTAGTTTCGACATTATCAATTAATGTTCCAAAAACATCAGAATCAGCATCAGCATTTGGTTCAGTATTAAATGTAAAATTCTCTGTTTTTTTTCGAAATTCTTTAGATTGAAAATCATGATTTGTAGACATACAACGAAAATGTTTACAACATTGCTGGTTAAAACTTAACCTTACAGAATTTATAGTAATAAATTGTCGTATAAAACGATTAAATATAATCATCTGAAAATACCAACACATTAGAATGTATACAATGAAATAATAAAGATTAATATTGCTATATTATTATTATATGATACAATTGTTTTAGACAACTTACTTTAAATTACAATTCGGAACTGTAAATTTATAATATTTAATATTTATAAATTAAATGTAAATACAACTAATTAACTCATTTTAAAAATTTGTGAGTAATCTGTGGTATTAATCACATTCCGGCTATCATTTGCTCGTCTTATCAGAAGCTAAAGCCACAAGCCACAAGCCACAGATATCTATATTATACTAGATAACGAACTACTGATGTTTTCCATTGAGAGAAGTGAAGCCCGGGGACACAAGATTATCATATATCCGCCATGTTTTTGGTTGGCAAAACAATATTACTTTACACTATATAAAATAGTTGAACACACTAAATTATTAAATTAAACATTTTTCATTACGTTTAATAAAAATTAAATTTCATTACAGAATTGAAAATATTAATTTAAAATTGCACTATTGATTATTTATATAATGTATATAATATATATTGATTATATTATACTCGTAATCAATGAGTATACAATAAATAAAATGATTTATTTAAATACACAAAACCAAATGACTATACTTACTACATTTAATTTTAACTATTATATATATATATATATATATATTAATTAAAATATATAAAATAAATGTTTATGTACTGATATACTGTAGTAGGGTTTGTTTTCCAAGTTTGGTTACTAACCTTAGTATAATTGATTAAAAAGCCTGAATTGGCCTGATGTTCCAGGGATTTGCTGGACCCCAGATTGCTATTCCATAAGACCAGACTGGTCTTATGATTGACTTATATATAATAAATTTGTTTTGGAGTTTAGTAGTGGTCGGAGGAGGTGAAGTCTGTTGTTCAATGATTTTCTTTTTACTTTTTGGTGGGGGCCCCAAGTTAGTCTTTTATCAAGCGTTATGCCTAAGTATTTGATTTTGGTTTGGACAGGGATGAGGGCGTTGTTCATAATTAATTGAGGGCACTCACAGGGAGATCATGCGGACGATTGTTACCGCCGCCCGAAGACGATGCCGACATTATACAAAAGGCGATATCAGAATGTAGATAACGGAGCGACAAATTAACAAACGATTTACTTCGATAGTTGACTTATCGCGAATGGATTGCCGGGTTATTAATATTATTTGTTGTTCAACTCACAAATTATTGATACATGCCATGAGACGCTTGTCTCCAACTTCGGACATATTCATATTTCAGTAGAGATGGGAATTATGATTCACTTTAGTGAATTGATTCACTCATTTCAATTCACTTAAATGCATAGGCGTGCGCAGACCTCTTTTTCAGGCTGCCACTGCCTACCCCTCCCTAAAACTACAAGTTATTTTAAGCGTTCGAAATTCTGGTCTTAATAACTATTTAATTTAAGATTTTGATTTTTTTTTCCCGAAAAAAGTGACTGAATAGCCATTTCTTGATTGTTATAACTGTCATCATAATTAAAATTTAAAATAAATTACAAAAAAAAAATAATTAAATACAAAACACTTGAAATGGTTTGAGTAATACGTTTAAATAGGGTAGTTAATAAAAACGTAATTATATACTTAAATGAAAAACAAAATAAATTTGATAAATAATCAAAATTAATCATAAAACGATTCTGCGTACAGTTGAGATTAAATCACCAATAATATTTTCGGGATTTATACCTATAGTTCATACCTATTTAATCTCGCTTGAATTATTGTACTTCTTAATTTCATTAACACATTAAATCGTTATTAGAACATATGATTTGTGTTTCAAAAATAAATTAAACTGTCTGGGACTGAATATAAAAATATTATAAAAATCAAAATGTAATACAAATTCACATAATATACATAAGACCAAATATATCATAATTTTTATTTATTTTTTGTAATTTTAGAAAGAAGGCTCTATGTTAAGGGTATGCAGTTGCATATCCTGCATACCCCCTGCGCACGCCTATGCTTAAATAAGTCAATTCATCAAATCAATTCATCAACTCACAATTGATAAGTCAAATCATATCTTAACCAAGTCACGATTTGAATCTTAAATCTTAACGAATCGAATCAAATCTATTAAATTTTAAAATAACATATTTTTCAGCTGATTTGTAATCACTCATTAGAGTTGGGCAAAATTTTATCTAGATAATTATTCGAATAAATATGTATTCGAATAAAAAATTATTCGATTGATTTTTTTTACAATTTTTCGAATAAAAATGTATTCGACTAATTTAGAAACAATATTATTCGAATAAAAATGTATTCGAATAATTTGGAAACAATATTATTGGAATAATTTGTGATCATAATATTATTTGAATAATTTTTAAACATAGTTATCCTATTTTAGTATTTATAGTAGTAGTTAGTACTAATTACTAAATATGTATTATGAAATAATGATTATAATTCTTCTAATTTGTACATGTATTTAGTATGTACCTTTATAGTAATTAATTATCAATATTGAAGATGTTATTATTATATCTAGTTTAGTCCAGTTTCTGTACTATATTATATAGTCTCAGATATTTTGGTACTATGTACTAACTACGTATGTTCAATGTTGTATTTCATATTTATAAGTTCAAAAATATAGAGCTCTACACAAAAATATAAAGATACTAGATAAATATGGGCATGTAGCTATAAAAATTATCTGTTTGAATTTATGATATCTAAATATCGAAGACGTGGTTTTATCAAATGTACATCAAATGTAGATTGTCTTATGATTACTTGTGTCGTATTTGTCACGTTAGTTCTTCTGTGCGCGAGTCCGCGAGTGTATGAATGCGTGACAGGGTGTTTAATTTAATTTAAAATATCAATTTATTTCAATATGAATTCTGTTAATGTACGTAGCGAAGATTCAAAAATTTCAACACAACAATTAACCGAGGATAATATTGAAGTTTCTGAAATGACGGACTTAAACTGTATGTCTATTTTAGATGGTAAGTTTTTTAAAATAAAATCCTAAATGGACAAAAATAAAGTAATTGCTACTTGCGTAACATGTGAGCCACACTATGTTGAAATAAAAAGGTCATTTTTTATATTTATTTATTTTCATTTTTGCTAAAATAATTTATTGACATTTTTGTTATTATTATTTACTACTATTTATGATTGATGTAATATTTTTACAAAATATGATTATAAAATATTATTCATATTCAATTATTATTATATATATATATATATTTCTTTACTTTCTTATATAAATCAATATTTGTTTTTTATTATACAATATTTTTAAATTTTTCCAAAAATTAGTTGAATAATAATTTATTCGAATAATTGTGAAAAAATCATTCGAATAAAATGTTATCTAAATAATCATCTAAATAAAATTTTATTCGAATAACGCCCAACTCTGTCACTCATCAATTTTCACAGTTATCACTTTATTAGTAATCATACCTAAATTAAGTTTTCAAGATTAATATTTAGTATTTAGGTACTAGAGATGGAAAGTTTAGTTCATTAGTTCACAGTTCATTCAAGTGAATAGTTCAAATAAACTATTTTTAAGTTCACGTATTTCACTAATTTTATTGATCATACTAATAATGCTTGACAATGAACTATTCGTTTTATCACTATTAGTACAGCAGTACACAGTTCAGTGGTAGGTAGTTCACACTACTAGTGATGTTAAAAATTAGCAGTCATCGCTACTTTTCACAGTGATCCAATGAGTAGCAGTAGCAGTGACTGCTACTCAAACATAATATTACAGTGATTTTATCACACTGTGATGATATCACAAATCTATTATGTTGTCCAACTGTGAAAACACTATTTAAACACTATTTAACACTGTGATTAAAGGTGCCCACACACTGCTGCGGTACGCGATACGGTATCGGTACAGTAAAGTTGCCGGTAAAATCGTTCAAATGGTTTTCATAGGCATCGCACACATCGAACTAGACCGGTCCGGTGCGCGCCTTCGTTATTATTTGTGCGGTACAATTAATAACCATGCCCAAAGATCTAAATGGGGCTTGCACACTAATGCGATATTATGCCGATATAATGCACAGTCTCAAATATCGTATCGGAGGACGGTTTCTGCTCCGGTATTTTTAGAACGTTGCATGCACGATTTTTATCGTGTTTCAGAACGATAAAATTAATTATCAAATTAGTTTTAAAAATTATAGATATTTAAAAAATCAGGGAATTTACTCTGCTGTATAGTAGATTTTATATCTACTTCATGTCTTCATCATTGTGTAGTTGGATAAATTAATTCTAATTAAAATGATGCCACATCCGGGAAAATACATTATCTGTGTTTTCTCTTAGGTTCTTTTACCTTTAATATTTTAATTTTTAAAACGACAGTTATTTTTGAGCTTTTTTGAATTGTAATATTTTACATACCTAGTCATAAATTCATAAACTCGCTTAAAAATTAAGATTTTGTAAATAACTTATGAGAAGATAGAGATAATTCACGTTGAAATCGATAATAGGTCAGATTAATCTGATATTAAAGCTAATATGTAATAACACAAAATTAGGTCTGCTGAATACAGATTTGCCATGTTGTATGTTTGTAAGACGGAGATAACGCATGCAGAATTTGTGATCTCTTAATTGCCAATCCGTTAATGGTAACTACTCATTACCTATACGTATCGATAATATTCACACTTTTAAGATTATTCTATTTTTAGTTCTTTATGTTGACATTGCACTTAGAATGTTTTTGTGTACTCCAGCAACGAATTGTTCTTCAGAAAGATCGTTTTCAACTCGCAGAAATTTGTATTTGGTATAAAGAAACATTTTTTATTGTTGCTCCCCCGTGTCAAATTTCTAAATACGGCCCTGCCCTTGATGTTAATCAAAACTAAAAACTTAAAATTGATATTAATATGAGAATATCATTAAATATTTTAAAATTAATAAATTGTCTTAAATGAAATGGTGATTTTTTGGATTTCGATTAATGTATGTATACTAAGTAGGTACTCCAGTATTATATTGTTCTGTGCTTTGGTATGGTTTGACGTTGGTTCATTTAACGGTACATGGGGTATAATATGGTAACATAATATAATATGATAACAATAAAAAGTTGATGCTTGATAGAGGCTTTGAGTTATTTTCCCTAAGTTTTGTATTTTAATATTAAAAATTGAACCTAGTCAAATTATCTTTTATTATTCATAATTATTCATAATTATTTAGACATTTCAAAATGTATTAGTTTTAATAGCTTGAGTTACTTAACACTATGTGTTTTTGACATTTTTTATACATAATTTTATATATATAGAAGTTATATTTAAGATACATTGTACATTGTACTTGATGTCAACATGGTGAACGCTGTTAATCATCATGTGCCTGTTGGACCTGGTAGTACAGAAAGTGTATTGCCTCCTCATTATCTACACGAACTTCCTAATGAAGATGAAATTCGATTAGCTAAACTGTTTGATTCACTAGACTTTGATAAAAATGGGAAAATTGACATACATGATTTATCAATTGCATTGAATGATAAGGAGTATGCACAAGTAAGTTATTAATTTATTTGGAAATTGATGTTTTATAATATTTATACTTGTCTTGGTTTTATAGAAATTTTTAGAACTGTCCGACGCTACTAAAAGTGGTTCGATTACATTAGCTGAATTTATACATTATGTTAAAGAACATGAAAAATCACTCAGACTCAGTTTTTCAAACATAGACAAAAACAAAGATGGTAAGAAGTTATTTTATATACTTTATATTTTATAATTTATTTATTATTTTATACATCAATAATATAATATTTGATTTACATCATTTTAAACCCTTAGAATAAATTAGCTATTACCTAGATTTTGACATTTTTATGTTATGATTATTAGTAATGTCATTAAATGGTTTCCTGCGAATACATATTTATAAATATTGCATTTAGTATCAGAGTATCATATATTACGTTGGTATACTCAGATTTATTTATTTTTCAATGTTTTGATGAAAAATATTTCTTGTTTTAAATCTTATTAATCTATATTATTTTTATAAATCATATTTTTATGTAACTGTCCATAGAAGAAAAAAAGTAGAAGACTGCCTTGTATAAATTAGAGGCCGTTAGAAGTTCTTATTTTATTTCATTAATTGTAATATCTAAAATTATTGTTGTATAATAATTGCAATGGTTTTTTATTTTTTATTTTTTTACGCGTGGCTATACTAAATTAAATTGTTATATAACTGAGTACTGTGTAGCAGTCCCCAACCATTTTTCTCTTCCATAGCCCTCAGATAAATATTTTACCAAATTGTACCTTACATTATAACTTTTTAACTTTTTTCACATAACTACTCTTAAAATAACTATAATATAATAATTTATATATATTTATATTTTATAAAATGATAAACAAAAAAAATTAACTATTTTACTTATTTAATTAATAAAAAAATTAAATTTAAAAGTGTAGTAAAATCTTTTACCTTATTTCAAATTATATAGTTTTTAAAAATCAGATTTAAATTATGCAAGATATAATCTTAAATTTGGAGCTGTGTTCAATTTATTGCTGTTAGATAAATTGATGGTTAAGTTTTCATTTTTAATAACATATATTTTATATTTCTGAAATGAATGATAAATTAAGCAAATTTAAAATTCTTCCGCCATTACCCAATTTCTTTGTGTGACTCAGGTTGGGAACCGCTGTTGTAGATGATGTACATCTAATATGTTATCATGTAACAAAACTCTATTTTTTTAAAAAAAAAAAAGTGGTTATTTTACATTTTTAATGCTTATAATTCACAATATCCATTAACTGATAATTTGAAAGTTCTAAAGATTTTTAATTTAAATCAATTTGTCATGAAAACCTTATTCTGTAGGAATATATTAAAGATAATAAATAAAATATTTCTAAAACAAATTATCCATGTGAGGAATTACTTTTAGTATTTCAGTATAAAGGAAATTGTTTTGATATATATGGTTTTTATATGTGATGTGTAATATATTATATTTTATTTTAAATCAATTGTTTTTATTTCTTTAAAATGTTTAAATTTGTTTTAATTTTAAATATTTTAATGTCCAATATGTTTTGGATCTCTTTATTATTTTGTAATCTCCATTCTCTGATTCGTAGGTCAATAGATTTATCTTAGTACTTTTCTTTCAAAGACATCGTCTTATTTAGAATGTATTATACTTACGTATAATTTATTTAAGCTTTCTTAGTGTCCATGTTTCTAAACCATATAGATGATAGAACTTATTAATGTTATATACATTTTAACTTTCAGGGTTATAGAGATCAATTTGGATTTTAGAAGGGTACCAACTCTTAAATAACATTTGTTTGCCAGTTGTATTCTTGCTATCTCTACTTTTAACTCATTGTCTTGAGTTAAAATAACTCCCAAGTATTTAAATTGTGGTACCATATAGAAGATATATCCTTCTACTTCTATACGCTCTATGTTGATACATCCTATTTTTTCTGCTAAGCATCATATATTCTGTTTTTTCTCATTTATTATTATACTTTATTTATTTATTTACTTGCAGCTTCCATTAATTTTTTACAATGTTTACTCATTCTCCATATTGTTTTTTATGATATTGTTTACGTATGCCAACAATACTATCTTTGATTGTCTTAACTCAGGCCTTCTGATATACCTATTCATTTGTCTTGCTACTTTTTTCAGTGCTAAATTGAAAAGAATCGGAAAGAGTCTGCCATTTTGTTTCAGTCTAGTGGTTATTTTAAACAATTAAAATTTGAAGTTTGCTATTTTTATTTTTATCTCTGAATATTTTATACTGGATTTTAACAAGATTGATTAGGTTTTTTGGGAAATTAAAATCTTTCAATATATTATGCATATTTTATAGACAATAAAATAATAAAAAATTAGTAAATGTTTAACCTGTATTATTACTTTATTTGTAAAATATGACTGTTTTTAATTAAAATGTCATCGTTAGCTATACACAAAGTTAATAGAAATCAATAGTGAGCCATGATTTTATTGACTTAAGAATATTTTTTTCTTTCCAGACTATTTCTATTAAGTTTTGTATTTCTGAAATGGTTTCTTCATTCAAACTCTTTAGTTTTTCACCCTAGATTTCGTTTTTATTGAGTTCCATATCATTACTTAATCATACTTTAATAATGATTGAATAATTTTTCGTACTTATAATTATTTGAACTATATTTTGAAAATGTATTGGTGTATCATGATTGTCTATGCAATTTATTTTTATTAAAGTTCCTTTATTTGAGTGTATAATTATCAGTGCTTGGTTAGTTCATTTAAAAAAGGAACTAGTTCATATTCACGTTCATCTTGTTAAAAATAATTTAATCCTTTTCCATATCGGTCTTGAAGAAAGGAACAAGTTCCTTTTCTCGTTCCTAATTAAGGAACATTTTTCATTCATCAATAATTTTAAAATGTAATCTATGTAATTTATAATAATAATAAATTTAATTAGGTATTGTTCTTTTGTTATTATTTTTTAAATTTATTTATTTCTTACAAGGTAATTTTATACCTATAGTAATAGTTATAACTTATATATACTGTATAAATTACTATTACTATAATATACAGTATATTTAAGTACAGGTTTTATTTTGCTTTAATATAATTAACAAGTTTCAAACATGTCATCAATTTATGAAAATGTTCAACTTAATGGTAATCCCATATTATAATATAAAAACTTCTTAAAAACTTTTAGAAAATTTAAAATCAATTTGTCTTTATTATCAGTGCTATAACTAGAGGTTGATGAAATGGGCAGTTGCCAAGGATGCAGTAAAATAAAGGATGCATTTAATTTAAATTAAAATTGGTTTATTTATATAAAATAAGCGTCAAGGGCACCACGAGGGTAGTTACAACACTGTTTTTATTAGAATATAGATGACCATTCAACTGTCAGACATAACACTATTAGAATTACTCAAAATATCTCCAAAAAAGTTATTATCCTTGTTTTTATTTTCCTCTTCATTTTCATTTTGTAAATCTGAATTTTCATTGTTTTCATTTTCAAAGCTTTAAACAATGCTTCAACAAAAAATTGTTTTGTAAGTCACTGAAGTATACATTTTGGAATTAATGCAGATGCAATCACGAGGGATTTATTAAACCAAAGATTATTGAACCTGAACATTAAAAGTTATAATTTAATCAATGTTTACTAAAACTAAAAATAATTTACTTAAATTATTAAATAAGTACCTAAATAAGGAAATTTACCTTTTAGTAATAGAAGTATAGTGCAATTTACAATTGCTAAACAATATTGTAAAAAATTATGTTCCAGCGCATTTTACTTCTTCTTAAATGAATATAATGTAGGCAATAAATATCCCATATACATCCCAGATTAATTTTGTAAAAATTCTAGTTCATAAGCTATGGAGTCATTGTTTTTCTTTTATTCTAAAAATGTTTTAATTGCTTTCACAAAAATAAACTAATGAAGAAAGGAATGAAAAAAATCCTTCTTGTTCCTTTAAAAAGTAAACAAAACTCCAATATGTTCCTAAAAATGAAATAAAACCAATGGAACTAGTTCCTTTGAACGAGTTCCTCTCAAGAACTGATAATTATAAGATTATAAGTATATATATTATTAGTAAGAATTATAAGTTTGGGTTCTTAAAAATATTTAAGTGTTTGATAATTATCTTATTCATTATTACAATATCCATTTTCAAAACTAGGATTTTCACTTAAATTCAAAATTTTTTTCGAAATTTAAAATTTTCGGAAAACTAAATTATATAAGAATAACATAACGAATATTGGTGTTAGTAAATTATTTTTAAAAATTATTTGAACTTGTGGTTTCTTCATTTGGTCAATCATGTTATATTTTTATTTTTCTATTTAAATTTTTTTCTCTTTTAACATATTCATTTATTGACCATCTATATATTTTTATAACAGATTGTAATAATAAAAATGTTAATTAAAAATAAATAAATAATTTTAATTCTTTTATTATAAAAAAGTTTCTAACTTTTATTATAAATGTATGATTATTAACATAATCATAAATTCTACGCGAGCCGGGAGATACTATGTTAATTTATCATACGGGCAACAATCCTGGATTTTAAATTCTAATTTTAACCCTATTGCCACACCATAGAAAACACACTGAAATAATATAAAATTAAAAAAAAAAAAGTTAATTTTTCTCAGTTCAATAAGAAATGTATTAAAATATGGTGTGCAGTTTTAATAATACCTACGTCAGCATAAAATCATATTTACTTCCTATTTTACTATTGATAAGTAAGTATCTCTTATTTGGTCATACAATTATAAATTGGTACTAATGTTACGGATACACATAAGTATAACTAATAATTACTTAAACATAATAGATACATGGGGGCAGGGGAGGGTTTTATTGCTAACCAAGTGAGCGGCTAATGGAGGTTTAAGAATTTAGTTAGTTGGTTTTTTTAAATCTATATAAAATTTTAAATTACAGAATATGTTTTTGAGTGCCTCATAAGAAAGTCATTTTTTTCACAATAATGACAAAGTTTAAATAGTTACATTATTAGTATCAATTTTAATCTGAAACCATTTTAAAATATAGGTAAATACTTATAATTAACGACAAAAGTGAGCAATTTATTTATAAAAAAAATATATAAAATAGGTATCATATTTATGAATGACCATTAACGATATTTT